GACCAAGTCAAAAGGCAACCCCAAAAACCTCAGAGTTTCCTACAAGGTTAAGAAAATTCTGCCTCTCAGAGGTGAGTCGCCTTTAAGACAAGTGCCAAAGACGGTCTGCAGCAAGGACTAGCAGTGGCTGCAGTGCAGGTGGAACCTGCTGCCCACCTCTTGGCTCCAGTGAAGATACAAAAGCAGCAGAAGAGCAGGAGATCAGTGCCTTGCCCTGCAGAGGTAATCAATCAGCTACATCTCACTATTTTGGCAATATCTGCTCTCCTAATGGGATTTTATTTGCAAGTTTAGTGTCTAACTTAGGAAAAAATATTATAGCTGGATCTGATCTGACCCTGATCTGACAACTCCAAGAACATTTTTGAGACAGTGCTTAAGCATTTATAACCCTGGTTGAACAGAGTATTTGGACTACAAAATCTAAATCTGTGTCAAAGCTTCCAGGGAAGTCCAGACGAAGGATTTTGGACTGGACTCTTCTCAGATTAATCTGAAAACAAATGGAATATCCTAAATCTACCATCTGTATCAGATATCTTTTATCCAAAAGTAAAAGAGCAATTTAAGTAGGCTTATTATTAGTCACTGTAAAACCTATTTAAAAAGTCCTGCTCAAATAGATTTATAGACAAATTTCAGATTATAATTTTCTCTTGAACAAAATTCTTAGACTAGACTTCCCAACTTACATTGCAGCAAAGCAATCAGTTGTGTAATTCCAAATTCACTTAAGAAGGTGTGAAAGAAGGTATCACTGTGAAGTGGATAACACTACCCAGACTCTTAGGGTTGCCTCATTTTGTAAGGGACCTGCTTACTATAGATAAAGCCAGTTGTATCTAAACTATTTGGAACATTTCTTCCCTGAAAACTACAAGCAAGACAGACCTAAACTATAGGAAAGCACATAGCTTTTAATTTACATTGGATTGCTGGATCCTTAAATTAATATGCTTATAAACACAGTTTTGGACAGGAATAATTCTACTGACTCAGGACAAACCTCATACCACTGCAGTGATCCTATTTCTTCATGTTGGCAAGGCCTTATCTTTTCCCCAGTTACATTCTTTTGCCAAAATAAACAATATCAGGAAGAAAGGAGGCAGCAATCTGAAAAATTATGAACATATTACTGTGTATTTTTTCAGGCTGTGACACTGTGTACCTAATTTCTAAAGTCATTTTAGCTCATTGACTAACTTGGGTGAAAATAATTTTATGATAGAAACATGATACTTTCTGAATTTTGCTTCGAATGGATACTTCTTGCTATTTTTTCCCATCTTTGCAATATTTGCATATTGCAATATTTGAGATACTACATCAATTTGCAATATTGATTTGCTGGAAGCGTGCCTACCCCTGATATACCAGCTACATTCAGACTTTTCGGTGCACTGTACACGTTTCAGCCTGCAGATCCCAGCACTCACTCCGTGGCATTTCAGCGTGTTTGTGTTTATGCCACTTCTACCTGCACATCACAGATGCAATCAGCCACAGCAGCAGATTTGAAACTTTGTAGGACATCAATACCTCCATGTTCAGTAATATCACTCTAGCAAGTATTTAGGACTATGTTATCACGGTATCCTATTTTTGGGGGGCAAGTACTTTGCACAATCCTATGAGGTTTCAGGGCAAAACATGTAAATTCACCAGACATCAGGTTATCCCTCCCAAGAAAACTGCTTTCCTCTGGTGACATTATTCAGTCACTTCTTACAATCACAAATACTGAATTTTGAGTTGAAGAGTTCTTGAAAGGAAGGAACAGCTCAAGGATGATGCAAATCTTAGCTGAATAATACTGTTAACTTGAGAATTTTCTGGTTTGTTTGGGTGTAGTTTAACTTTATTTAGTCTGAAATCAATCGATAATCTGACAAGCTGAATGCATTACTATTGAGAAAAAAACCCACATATTTATTGATCAGAGAAACCACTTGTACATTTCTTGTAAGCTTGAGAACTCAAATCCAGAAAGGAGCTTTTTAAAACACCAGACTTACATTCTGCTGAGAAAAAAAATGTCCACCAGCAGGCCAAAGGGAGCAGTTTTCACATCTGCCCTTGAAATTCAGGAGAGCTTATTCTGGTGATTGGGCTCTCAAATTTTACAGAGAAATAAAAGTTGTTCTTTCATATAGAATCACAGAATAATTTAGGTTGGAAAAGACCTCTAAGATCATTGAGTCCAACCATTAAACAAACACTGCCAAATCTATCACTAAACCATATCCCTGACTGCCCATGTTTACAAATCTTCTAAGCATCTCCAGGGATGGTGACTCAACCTCTTTCCTGAGCAGACTCTCCCTATGGCAGACAATTCTTCCAGTGCAGGAAGTTCTCCTAATATCCAATCTAAACCTCCCCTGGTGCTACTTGAGGTAATTTCCTCTTTTCCTGATGCTTTTCACTCAGGAGAAGAGACCAACCCCTGCCTCACTACAACTTGCTTTTAGAGACCAACAAAGTCACCTCTGAGCCTTCTCCAGGATTCTCCCTGTGTCTTCTCCAGAACAGTTCCAGTTCCCCCAGATATTCCTCATAAGACTCTTTCACCAGTTTTGTTGCCCTTCTCTGGGAATTCTTCTGCACCTCAATGTCCTTCTTGTAGCAAGAATTTGGGGAATCAAATTCTTTTCTTGGCATATAATTTGCCTATAGAAGTCGTGTACTAGTATTAATGGGAGCTCTGCATATTTAGCACATCTTAAAACCAAGATTGTACATAAAATAGCAAGGTATTGATTTTCTTCGAGGATGCAAAATGCTAAAATATTTTTTTCTGCAGCATTCCAACACATATCTCTTTTTTCCTCCTCTAGCCACTGTTTAAATATCAGCCTGACTCAATAATTAAAAATCCTCAGTGGCCTTTTCTCATACTAAGCTTTTCACTTCCAAGCTCTAATAACATTTGTCTTGAGGTTCTTCAAAGACATCTCCCTGAAAGAAGATCAAAGTCGATCCACAATAGAAAGAGCTGCAAATAAAGAAACTAGGAATACTGCTCCTGCTGCTGCCATTGTGTGTACATTGTGTATAGGTTGTTGTGTATATTCAAACACAATTTCCCACATAATTTGGAACATCAGTCCCTCACATGGTTTCAGATGTTGAGTACTCTGCCTTTTACACATGAAATCATGTGTGAAAGGCAGAATACTCAACAGTGCCAGTTCAAGAGAAAGTCTACAGGAAGATAACATCATTTTTTTTGTTTACAAACATGTCAGTACATACTCTGAAGTCCAATGCTGGGACTTTTTTTTAACCCAAACTCTGAAGGTGCTTTTCTTTTCTACACCAAGGCAGAGGAAACTTTCTAGTAGCTTGATTTTTTTTAATTTCAAAAATTAATGACTAACTTAAAGTGCCATATTTGTACTGAACAAAATTTCATCATAAAACAAAGAATGACATTATTTACAATAAAAGAAATTATTACACGTAATTACAAAAGAAATTACTACATTATCGATGTCTTGATAATTGTACTATATTATCAAAGTCTTGATAATTGTCTCAAGACAATTATATTAAGACAAAATTAATTTAAATAAATAAAAAATACATTAATTAAAAATTAATATAAAAAATACTAAAGACAAAAAAGGGAGCTCACAAATTATGCATATGAAGAAAGTCTCACATATTGTAGCTAATTTGTATAAAGCATATATTTCTTCTCCTTGAGAAAATGTTAATGCTGTCTGTTGGTAAAAACTGAGGATAACCTCAAAGCCAAATAGCTGAGAATTTTGAAGCCATTCTCTTTTTATTTTCTTAATACACGGAGGAAGTAATATAAAAGTTTTAGGGAAGTTGAGAGCATTTCAGCTTCTTGGCATTAGAAATCATCCATTCTCCTACCTTGACCTCTAGGTGGCACAAAAGAACCTAAACTAAGCAGGTTTTTCTGATTTTTCAGGTAATGTTATGCCCTTCAATCAGACTCCACAAGTCACCAATTACAACATCACAAAACACACATCTATTAAATAAAATGTCAAAATAAGTACTAAAGTAACAGCTACTGTAGCTAGACAGCTCAATTTTACTGCTTTAAATAGTGCATTGAGAGATAAATAATTGATTCTCCACAGTACCTCTAATTTCCTTTCACCTTCAGCTTATAATAGTTAAAAGGAAAAATAGGTTTGCTAGAAATTAAATTAATGTTCACATTTAGTTTAATGTCAGGATTACTACAGAATTCAAAATACATACCATAAAAACAAATTTGTCATCATACTCCAGCAGAAAAAAAATAGTAATGAGAAAAATACATCCATTACTTTATCTCATTTTAGATTACAATGTGTAGAAAATTAAAGAGTCAGTGAAATCACCACCAGTCAATATTTACTGCACAGGGAACTAGAAATGCTGCTATTTTACTTAAGGTAAGTAGGTGTTGGTAGGAATATCAGCATGTTCTATGCGATTCTATGTGACCAGAGAGAATTTTTATATTATCAACCTAATATGCACAGTACATGAAGGACCCCAACAGCCCTCAGCCTCTGCACACAAGAATGGCACCACAAAAGCATTTTGCTCCAATTAAGACCCTATGACAACAGAGAATTTCTTAGACAACAGAGAATTTATTTTCTTCTACAAAAAAACAAACGTGCATTTGTACACTTCCCCTTGTATCAATGTTGCCATCTATTTCCTTTATTTCCTGCATTAGCCCAATCATTCACACTCACATCTGAGGAACACTGAGCAAAAAACCCAAAAGTAACCTTCCCCTCGCAGCCTGGTCCAATTCTCTGCCTGCAATTACCCAGTCTGGACTTTCAACACTCTATCATTCAAAAACATTTCATCTGAAAAGATTTGACTCTTCCACGACTGACTAGGCAGATATGTGTAAAATTTGTTAAAGCATTCTGTGGAAGATCATTTGCATCCACATGTGATAACAGAGCATTGCATCATGTGCCCGCAATAAATAGAAAAGGAATTTCTCTCACCTGGCATAGAAATCTTTTGGTGGAACAACCTCTTGAAAGAACTGTAGCTGGTACAGATAAAGTCCAATCAAGTGTCCCGCACTGAATATAGCCATTAATACACATAGACAGCTGAATATCAGCGGATCAAATGCTTGGCAACAGGACCACCATGTGCACAGGCCCAAAAACACAAAGAAATACACAGCTGAGGTCAAAGATGGCACCATCATACCTGTAAAAACAAAACCATGGAGCGTCGGAGAAGTGTGGAAAATACTGGCATTTGTTAAAACTTTAATTTGACAAGATCCAATTAATTTGATCCAATTAGTTCTTTGCTAATTATTACAATTAGCTCTAAAGACTGCTATTAACTTTGAGACTAGAAGGGAAGAATTTTTTTTTTTTTTTTTGTTTTAATTGTTCAATTCACTGATGCCATATCTCAGCACTTAGAACACAATCACTTTCCAGACTTTCCTCTGAGGTGGAATTTTTCTCTATGTAAAGATGTTTCATAAAGCATGGAGAAAAACAAAAGGTGGCTGCAAGGGCAGCTAATACTGACTGAGACCACCAGTGCATGACTTTTGAGTATAAGGTGCTAAAGTGGCATGATGGATGAACAGTGAAAAGCCTTCTCATACAGATATTAAAATACCTTGACATATTAAAAAAAAACAGACTCTGATTCATATATCAAAACACAGATATTTACATAAATTCTACAGAATAATCAGTAAATTTTTGAGTTCTTAAAAATTGCTAACTCCTAGAAATGTGTAATTTACATATGACAAAGACTCTGCTGTCATACACATGTATTGTTTTTACTTTTGTGCAGGTAGCTGAGTATGAAATATACTTGAGTATTTCTCAAGTCAGCTCAGCTGACATGAGAAAATATCCAACTGGTGAAGGGGACTCTGTGCTCTTCTGGAAGCCTGCAAAAATAAGATAGGAAGCAGAAAAGAATTCATGTCTAAGTGGCAACCATGAGAAAATTATGTAAGAGCTTGCAGCCAGCACAGCAGCCCAGTGGATTCTCTGAAGCGACAGTGCCAGAGCTAGCAGGGGCCCCTGCCTAAATTTACTTTTAAGCTTTTTAAATAGTAGATGTCTAGGAGTCGCCTTCCTCAGGACAGACCTGCAGGCTCCTGGTGGCCCATAGCTCCAGTGTGCCTGCTGGCCCTGCCCCTCACCAGGCGCTGGCTTGACGTGTCTTTAGGGAGCAGCACTCCCAGGGTTGGTCCTGAGCTGAGCTGAGTCCAGGCACTGTAAGGACTCATATCCAGTCATGTGCCTGAGCTTCTCATCACATCTTTCTTTAAGCTTTCACTTATAGTTCTGTAAAACTTCACCCAACAATTTCTGCTTCAAAGTTGTGACTATTTCTTTTCTTCTTACAAAGAGACATTTTGTCTTTATTTCCAACACTTTTGGAGAATGAGAATACATGATATCCTAAAATAAGTTATTTATTATTGCCAGTTACTCTGACTGTGAAAATACAAAATTTATTTCTGGTCTAGAATTTATTTCTATTCTATACTAGATGAGAGACCTTAAAAAATGGAAAAACTTTGTATCTTTGTCAGTTCTTTTGGGCTGCAGTCAAGTCACCCTTCATCTTCTTTTGGCGTGGTAAGTAAGGAAGTATTTAACTTATAAAGCTCAAGGTCTCTCTCCGGAGTGGAGGCATCTCAGACCTCAAGCATTTTTGTAACTCTACTCTGAACACCTCCCACTTCTTGGCTTGTGTTAGAGCTCCACAGGCAAGACATCCATTGCCATTCAGAAGAAACTGCCCCCTGCCACTGCTGCACAATCCTTCTGCTTCCCCTTGAACATGGAAGATGTTCACCTATGCAGAGAGGCTTTTTGGTTTTGTTAATTTGGGTTTTTAAATGACATCTCCCTTCCCTGGAGTCAGGGGCTATGGTAGCCCACATTTTTTTTCTCCTTTTAGATTTATTACTTTCTATTTGGCTACATGTAAGGCTGTTTAGCAATCTTGCCTTAATGAGGGAACCTGCCTTACTATAATGGTCACACCTCCAATTCTCATCATTCAACAAACTTTTTTGTACTGTTGTTTGATACTTCATATACTGACAACTTTAATATTAAGTTGCAATGTTTATAAGTATCACTCCATTCAAACATGAGTTGGCAGATAAATGCCAATCTACAATTCCATGATCTAATTTTTAATTCAGTAGTTACAACCTAGAGTAATTTTGTACCCTTCTGTTCTGGCTGTAGTTGATTATGTGGTATTAAATCAAATGCCCTATAGAAAGGTAGGCTATATAACATCAAAGCAACTACTCTTACCAACTAATTAAAAAAAAAACCAAAACAACTGGAAGTCTGCTTATCACTCCTTTTACACACTACATGGTCAAACAACATTTTTTAAAAGGCTATGTGAATACAGTTTTTTACACTTAGAAGTGATGAAACCAAATCTATGACTTCATTTTAATATAAATGAATATTTATATGTGTGTGTGTATAGATACACATACACACACTCAATATATATAATAATTTATAATATGCTCCCCATTCACCATTTAGTTATAAGAGCAATTGTAAAAATCCTAAACAGAATGACATGGCCACACAGAATTAAGCACAAAAGAATTAAGCAACTCAGCATATTCCAACACTTGCCAAAGAGTTAATTTAATAAAATCAGCAGCAATTTCTTTTCCCTTAAAAATTTCCATTGTTATTCCCGCAGGTGCCAAAGTGCTGAAAACTCATTTGTTAAATGCAGAATCTAATGGGCTCCTGAGGAAATTTTTCAAATACACCAACCTGCTGAACCAAGTAAAATTGTAACAACAACTTTTCCAGTGGTGATTATCATATTGCCAATAAACTCCCTCAGTTTGGATGCTAGAAAGGCAATTCTACGCAGCAGTTTTAATTTCATGGTCTCCTCAAATTCTGCTTCTCCACAGTCGTCGTCATCCAGATCTTCTTCATACATCAAAGCATCATCTGGCTCTAATTTTTCTCTTACAGCCTAAAGGAGAAGGAAGGAAAGAAAAATAGAATGCAAAAACACAGAGAGAGAGACAAAGGAATTTGAAATTAAAACCCACACACATATTATTTAACAATGAAGTCTTCTTACAATCTTTGACTATGCCAAGTAGTGAGACCTAAGAAAGAGGTACTAATGCTAGAGATGTATACATTAATGGCTCCCACCTCAGAATTGTGTCAAAAGAAAAAGTTGTTAAAGGTGGTCTCTGGGAAAGGCTGGTTGTTCATTTACACATGATATTTGGTTTGATTGGTTCAGCATTCTTAGAAAGATAAACATCTTGCTGTCTAATATCTTTTGAGGCAAACTCCTCTTTGCCTCAAAGGTTTCAGTTACAAGCTCCAAAAATGGCAATCCCTGGGTTGTTATTGCTCAATGGTTCTCACTTTCCAAACCCATTTTTCATCAACTCTTTTTCAATATGCAAAACCGAGAACAGAGCAAGTAGGCATGATCTGGAACAGGGCAACAAGGGCTGAAACGAATGGACAGATAACTCATTGGTGACTAAAGGGTAGCTTGGGAGAGAAAAAATAGACAAGCAGAGGCTTGGGAGAGAATGAGAAATGTGGAGATCAACTGATGTGAGCAAGAGAGACGTAGTGAAATCTTGAGTGATCTACAAAAATTTAGCAGGAGTAATGAGACCCGTGACTTAGAACTACGCAATGGAAAAAAGAAAAGAAGGAAACATGGAAAGGCCCATCATACTTGGCAGTGGTCTTCACAATCAAGTCTCCATCGTATCTTGGAGACCAGAAGACATATACAACCATTGATTGATGCAGACTAAATCATCAACCCACGGTGAGAATCTGCAGGATTAGCAAGAGGCCCACACAAAGATACAATTTATGGAAAAATTAGTCATTCATGGAAATGTAGGGGCATATTAAAAAAAAAAAAGTAAGAGTTTTTAGCCAGGTTCTCATTTGGTGTAATATAGAATAGCTTTTTTGTCAGTAATTTAGACTTGTGTTAGGTAACACTAGCAGTGGCCAAACCATATCTCTGTGTGTGAAATTTAAAAAGAGAGATTAAAAAAGAGAGATTATTAGTATTTTTTATCAGAATAGCAGTTTTATATGTACTGGTGACCTTTGGCAGAAAAAATTCCACGGTGACAGATCAGATTGCAGTAGGAATAGATGAACTCTCAACATACTTAACCAAATTCTTCTGTACCATTACATTATGTGAATTCCCAAAAGAACAAAATTCCCTGTAGATGCCTTCATTTCACCTCTAAGTTTGTTGCCAGCTTTCTCCTCTTACTTCAGAGCATTAACATTGTTGTGAATGCCCAGGAAAACAAACAAGCAAACAAACCTGCTTGTTCTAAAAAAATCTCTATTTTACAGACAACAAAATATGTAATAAATACAGAGGGCTGATCTGGGAAATCTACATTTCTTTTGGACTTATCCAGTTATTTCACTACCAATAGATATTTTACATGGGGTATAGTAGAATTTTAATTGCTTTCTTATTGTCACCATTCACCCATACAGCTCTCAAAATATAAATTATTAACTCTTTATGCAAAATAATAGGGAGATGGCAGCCCAAACATGCAGCCATCACATTTCAAGACATGCATCGCAAAGAGGCATTCTGTCTGTTCATCCCTGCTGCTCATATCTGAGCTCCTATCCCAAGGATAGGAAACATTACATATTCATAAAGAATGCTGAGAGTAGGCACAGCAATACTTTCTGCCCTAACTTCTGCCAGAGCTGTTTCAGTGAGAAAGTTAACAAAGGGCAAACATAATGATCCTTTTTGCTTGTGTTACAAATACTAGATTAACATGTTCTTCATCTAGCCCTTTTGAGTCCAATCCTGCTTTTCCTGGTCTGGTTCTAGAGCTCTGTGCCTTGAGCTTAACATAACTAGTGAACAGTGAAACTTCAATAACATTCATATTCCAAAGAAGGGGAATGAGACTGATGGACATTTAAAGATTTTGAAATTGCACACTTCCTAAACATAGATTTGTGTGAAGGAGACCCTTGTTTCTTTAGCTTGCTGAAGACAATACACATTAAAATATACACTCTAAAAGTATATAGGAATAAAAATAAATAAATTATTTAATGGAAGGCCATCAGTATTCATATGTCTTTGAATACTATGTTAGACATGAAGACAGGATTCATATATTTATTACAGTTTAAAATTGCTGATTGCTATGAATATACATAGGCAGGAACAGGAAATAAAAGTCTGAAGAGTCACAAAAGACAATATTAAAATATTCTCCAAAAAAGAAGAAAATGTTTTTGTGGGGAAAATGAAAGTAATAAAAATATTTTTAGGTATAAATTGGAGGAAAACACACAATACCTTCAAATAATAAAATAAAAAGGAGGACACGGAAGTAAGGAAACCACACAAAACATCCCAGTGAAAGATATACTTTTCTGTCTCTCATCCCTACCTGCTTTCCTAACCTCAGGTGCCAAATGCCCAAATTCACACTTTAAAATCTTCTCATAATAAATCTTTGGATTTTATGTCAAAACTAGGATCATAATTTTTCTTTAATTTTAAAGCTATTTAATCTTGCTTCATTGATCTAAAGAACATTTAGGCTACATTTTGCCTTGAGAGTTAAGCATTAATAATCTAGTCCTGACATGTATGACACAGCACACCCAGGGAGAAGCACTAGGGAAGAGGATATTTCAATGGACCAAGATATAACTGAAGCTTAGAAGGAGACCATGGTCTGAAGTTTCCATGAACTGAGGCTTATACACTTGAAGCACAGCTAAAAGCTTCAATGTCCATGAGTTACCAAAGAAGTTAACGTTCCTTGGTTTTTAGCTTTTATTTAGACATGAAAATATGAATTCCAAGTTCAGCAAGAAAATTAAGATGTCACAAACATTCACAGGAAATGCAGAATAACCTACTTCTGGTGTTACTGAGGTCATCAGATGTTGGAAAGAAAACTTCAGCAGTCTGAACCTCAGGAAATACCAAACTGATTTCCCAAGCTTTCCCTCTAAAACTACAAAAGTCTGTTAGAGTTGGTGTTCTTCAATGCTCTCCTCAGTTTAATACAAGCTGGCAAATGGGATCATCAATAAAAAACACCACATGGAGTCCCAGAAGCTTTTTCAGAACAGATACGTGTTGGTTTGCAGCTTTTCAGGACAGCCAGAATTATCAATGACATGGCTGTGCAAGAATTGCCTGGTTTCATGACAGAGTTGATGGTTATGTCAGCAAAGACTATGGGAGTTAAACAGCTCTAGGTTTGATTTTGCTGTCTTTTTTTTACAAAACAAACATATCTGTTTTTAATTCAGTATCCAGGATGAAAGGCCGTGTTCCATTGCTGAAGTAGATGGAAGGCCATGTTCCCGTGTGTGTTGAAAAGACAAACTTTGGACTCCCTGCTCTCATATTCACCACCCTCCAACTGGATCATCTGGGCTGGCTTTCCATTTTCTCACATTGAGCACTTAAATTGCAGAAGGCAAGCAAACAGTGAACAGTTTTCACATCCAATATGGTGATAATGTGCTTGTTGTTTTAACACTTTCTGATGATTAAAAAGCCATACAAGTACGCGCTCATCACAGAACACCATTACTTCAGTCAGATTGCTTTGAAAAGCTCTTTTTTACTATGTGGATTAGTCTAAAGGTACAAACCCATGTTACATAGGCTACAGTTAGAAAAATACTTTTACTTCCATAATAAATTACCTATTATGCAATTACAGGATCCCTGTGGATGCTGATTAAATCAAATAAACTTCTCCATTCAAGGAGTATAGAGCATTTGTGAAGCCATAAACATGTGTTTCCATGACCCTTGCTCTGCAGAGCAGGGCCCCAGGACTTTTTATAAACAAACTAAATGCAGTTTAGGTTTTTTAGCAATCATGTGGAAGTCCCTGGAGTATTTATTGTACAACACTTTTTTAAACTGCCAAATTGAGATGGAGAACAGGCAAGGAAACAGTACAGCTCCTGTGGCAGCTATGGCAGCTGCTATTGTGGCCAGGGCCAGAATGTCCATTAGCTACTTTGGGAGCTGCTTTTTCAACATCCAACTTTTAAATGTTTCATCTGGTACAGTATAAACACTACTGCACAGAGATATCCTCTAGCCTCAAAGATGTATTTACTAACAGGAAGTCTTAACTCTAACCTAAACCCCATTTTTGCTTCAGAGCTCTCCTTGCTTTGTACCTACTTTTAATAGTACTGTGTCTGTAAACACAGATTTTCTCATTTACTGATTTTTCAATTCTAGAGGGGACACAAATTAAACCCTTCAAAAATTCAAATACTGACAGCAAGAAAATTTAATTAGCCAGAATTATTACACCTAAGGGGATGCAAGTCTCATAACTCCCACCCTGCTGAATACATTGTATTAATTATTGGGACCTCACAAGCATGCACTGCTAAGCTCACAAGAGTAAGGTCCTGTGGGGGTTCAGGTGCTTCTTCTTTGTACTTGGCTCATAAATGTTGTTCAAATAGCCTCTTTTCAGTATTTTGACACTCCCAGCCAGTACCAGGAAATAGAGAAGAGTGGGAATGTTACACTTTTCTGGCTGTAGTGTTCCAGACCTCAACACAGACTTCTAGCCCCTGCTGCTGATAGCCACACCAGATTCTCTCAAGGGGGCTGGATTGTCTTCATGCTGCCCCATATTTGTGTGCCCTGGGACTCCTAGTCAAACCATCCTGGTGACCCTGCCACTGTAAAAGTGTGATTCTCTCAAGATATCACCACCTAGAACTACTGCTTTACCTCTAATCAGAGATTTTTATTCCATACCTGTGATAGAGTAGCAAAGATATGATTTGTTACAAATCTAAGCCTGTTAAAACCACAAGGCCCAGGTTTCTGGACTTTCCATTAAAAAAAAAAACAAAAAAAAACCTGCAATGAGCAGCCTGGTTTAGGAGTTATCTGAGAAAAGCTATTTGATTCGATTTTACCAGCAG